AATTATGTAGAATGCTCAAACGTTGATGACAATGCTGCAAAAAGTTTTATTATTCTAACAATCAGTTTAAATGTTCTATATAGTTACTTAATGGTTTAAATAAAATTATTTTTAGATCTGTATCTACCTAAGCAGAGCACAAGTCATTATGATATTAAAATGATGTCAAAATGATTCCAAAATGATTATTAAAAATCATTTTTCAATCTTTTCCGATTCATTTTAATATCATTTTGACGTTATTGTGACTTGTTCTGCTAATTTTTAGATTCAGTAAAACCATTCTTTCCATTAAATAATATTCTTCTCCATTGCATGTCTTCAGAAAATTGTGCAAGAGCTGTACGATGAGATATCGAGTCTACGGGAGAAGATAATCGCGATTGGCGGCAAGGACCCTGGCAAGATCGAGGAGTTGAAATCGCCTCAAGTGGAATATCTCAAGCAAAACCCGCCGATGTCGATCGACACAAGTTCACCGCACGACTGTACTGAGCAGCAAGAACCAATCTGCATGAACGAGTCGGTAATAATGGGTATGTCGCTGTTGCAAAATCAGTTGCGAGATCTCTGCGACCACTCCCAAGAGATCTGTCAGCGTGCCCTGGACAAGAGCTCGTCGTTCGCGTCCCTCATCAAGTTTTGGCTGACAGAATCGAGCCGACAGGACGAAATGGGCAACGTGTTGATCCCGGTGAATTATTCGGAGGTGGAGACACGGCAGGCGAATTTTATGCAAGACAATGAGGAGATAAGAACGCAGTTGGACGATCTGAGAACGATCCAGAAGGACTTCGTCACCGAATTTGCGATGAGATCCTCGAGTCTGCGTAGCGAATATGACAATTATTGCGAGCGTGTGAAGGAGGAACAGCCGAATGTCGATCGCAGGGAACTCTTACAGGAGCAGCTGAATGTCGCTTTAGAGGAACTCAAAGCGGAGCGTGACAAGGCGAATCAAGGGAAAGATAAGACGAAAATGATGGAGCTTCAAATGCAAAAGGCGCGAACAAAAATTCGCGAGTTGGAGGGGCACGTGGCTAACGAGGAGGTGAAGACACAACAGCTGCAGAATAACTTGAAATCATTGGAGGTTCAGTTGAAGCAGAAGGATCAGGCAATGGAGCTGAGGGTGAAAGATATGCACAAGGCGATGAAGAGCAGCGAGAGTCTCGTGGCAAAGATGGAGAAGCAGCGTGACAGCTACGAATCACGGTTGTCTTTTTAATCTCGTTGAATTCTTGATCTCTTTTAATCTCGAAATCTTAAGAAAAAACTTAAGATTAAGGAAACTTTAAGAAATATAAAAGCTTAAGGTAGGATGGGACAATTTCAAACATTATATAATTCTGAATAAAATAAGATTTAAATCTAATTTTCGAGGTTCAAGTGTTTTTTTCTTATTTGATGATATCCTTTAATATTCTTTAATATCATATAATGAAATCAATTACCAAACTTGATCCTCAAAAGTAGATTCAAATTAGATTCATCTTTTATTTTATTTAGAATTGTACATATATGTTCAAAATTGTACTATCTTATAATAGATAAATAAAGAGAGTTTTATTCTTAATAAAATTAAATTCCTATTAAAAAGCATGAAAAAAATCTTTTATACTTTTAACTAGATAATAAGGTTTGACAAAGATGACTAAGATAGATTTCTTTTATTTTATATTATCTTAAAGTTGTCTGCTTTAGGATGCTGGAGCTCAAAGAAAAGATAGCTCGCAAGGAAACGGAAGCAAGTGCTACTATTAAGGAGTTATCAGAAAAATTGAAACAATTTGAAATAATGGACGTAGAGATCATCGAAGAGAAAGAAAAGAGGTAAAGTATAATTTTATCTTAAGACTCTAATAATTTTGTCTATCATATCTTCAAAGAAAAATGATTGTATAATTATTATATTATTTTATTTTAAT